TCCGTTTCCTCGAATCGTTACGTGAAAAAAAAAAAAAAATCTTTCTCGAACGCAAGCCTTTGTCACCGCTGTTCTTGAGAATAATTATCGACGGACAGGTAATTCGTTATCGCGACTCGCACTTTCGAAATTACTCGTTTTCTTCTTCTTAGTCTAGTTTCGCCGCGTCGTTTATTCTTGCGATCTCGGGTGAAAGCTGGCGCACTACAGTCCACTTTCCACTTGGAGCTCGAATCGTCATCGGGAGAGTAGATTTCCCCCTGAAATTTCTTTTCCGAAATTAATCCCTCCGACTTGTTTCCGTCGAGCCGATAATCGAAATCTCTCACATCGTTCACAAATTATCGGAAATTCCAATTTCCACGTTGAGCGACGATCGCCAGTCCATACGCGTGTAACCTTGTCCCTTGTATGGGTGTAGCGGATATCGATGTTGGTCACGTAGAGATCGTGAACACCGCGGGATGTATAAACCACGTATTCGACCACGACGTCTTTTTTTCGGCTATGTGGAAATAAAAAAAAAAAAGAATCTTGGACAACCGGTGACAAACGCTCGTGACGCGAAAGCATCGTGGTCGTCAAAAGAGACTGTGCAACCCTGTTGATGACAAAGTAGTCTTGATACGATAATAACGCGATAGATTGCACCGTGATTTATTTTCACGGTGGCGATACCATTACGAGTTTGTTGGTACCGCATGACACGCGATCGAAAGGATTAAAAATGCCTCCGTCCATTTTTTCTTTCTTTCAGTCCAATCTGTGTTATCCCTCTTATCGATCGAGCGATAATTGATCGATAAGTGTCCCGTCCCATCCCATTGCGACCGAACGTATAAAAGATTCGAGAGATCCATCCAGGTTGAACTTGACCATTTACACGTAGCGATATCTAAGTATCTACGTTTGAAAAATTAGCGAGAAATCGACGAAACCTTGATGCGTTTATTTTTTATCCAGTAAATGTGAAAGACGAGTTCGTCTTTTAAAAATTAAAAATTTCTCGTATCTTCTTATCTAGATTCATATTTGAAATGATATGGTAAATAATTATATATATATATATATATATATAGTTAAGTCATTTTATACGATCGTAACATTTTTAATAAGAATCTTATCATAAACAAATATTTTTACAACGTACGGCTTTCGAGACTGATAACACGATCGAGAATTGCTTCATGAGTCACCTTTCCCCGATACGTGTATTTAAATAAGGATATAACGACGGAAAACGGGTAATAATAATCTTATAGTCTATAATCGGGTCTATAAGAATAATCGTGAGAATGACGTTGCTCGTGTCAGCCATACCGATTAAAAGCAATTTTAAAAGAGAAGTTATCGAGAAACTTGAATCAATCTTATCGATTTCTCCGTACGTGTACACCGAGGACCTTTCGTCGCTCGTTTCTTTTTCCTTTTTTCTTTCGATTCTCGTTACTCCTCGCGTCGCTACCATCTATATATCGTATGTCCATAATTCGTAGCGGACAAACAACTTTCTCTCGGTGCGCGTAGCTATCCAACTTTTTCCACAAATTTCGTTTACATTTTCGTAACGAAACGAGTTTAAAAAGTTTTCGAGAATAGAATCCATAATACCATTCCCGCCGGTAATCACGCCGCTCCCAGTTGCGGACAATCCGTGTATTTTCACGTATCTCCGGTAATATTTACGGCAAACGATACACGGTGGTCGGAATTGACGTTGTTCAGCAGCCTGTATTTATAAATGACGGTCGCTCGTTAATTAGCCCGATAACTGGTGCTTCTTGTTTATCGTTGTTAAATAGAAAATTTCGAGTATCGATCCCGGCGCAAGTCGATTAGTTTAATTAGAGTTACTTAATAGATCTCCCCGTAATGGGAACGAAGATTATTTAATTTTTCTTCGCTAATTGTTTGCGTGACTTTCTTCTCCGTTCCCTTCTATACTCGTGGGGGATAATTATTCGGAGAATCCCGCAGACGCGCCCTTTTGTTCTCGCCTGAATGCTTTTTTCGAACGTCGTAATTTCAACATCTCGATATACTTGCGCGTCCGTTAAACACGCTCGAGAAGTTTGGCAAAGTTCGAAATTTTGGCGCGTTTTATTGGCGAAGGGAGAAAGAGAGAGAGAAAGATCTGATTTTGTTTCGCATGGAGTTGCGGTTTTGCGAGCAGAGATACGGTCGAACGATAATTTCCTTCCTTCTTCCTTCGCAGGCCAGACCGCAAAAAACGTCCAAAGTGGAAACGATAACTCTCGCCTCTCTTTCTCTCGGACGTGAAATTTTACTTGGTTGCCTCGCATACCACACCATCGTGTGAAACGGCAGTCTATTTTTAAGAGTGGCTCGCGATACGAGGAAAACGCCGACTCGTCAACGGGAAAAATAAAGGAGAGAGGAAACGCGTGTGCGAAAGTACGAGGAAAATAAAGGAGAGAAAAGGAAGTTACGAGTATCAACGGAAGAATCGGGTTACGCCCAGTGTGTACCCTCGCGTTTAGAGTTATTAGTCGGTTTTTTCGAGTTACTAGTCGCAACGTTACCACAAAAGTTAAAAATCGATCGATCTCTTGGTCGTTGAAAGATCGTGCGAAAACGTCCGTTATTCTCAGCGTGAACATTATCGGTAATCGGTGGTAGTCCCCGTTTTCAAAAGAAAGTGGTCGGTCAGAGTTTCAAATCCACGAAGAAGATGAAGAAGAAAATCGATGAGCGGTGAGCGAAGTATTCGTTTGCGAAAGGGGGGGAAATAAAATTTGGGAAATGGACCGTGTTTCATTTCGTTCGAAGCGAATCTCGTCTCGTCGCGACGAGAGTGCGAGATTTAATTGCGTCAATTTGCGACACAGTAGAAAACGCGATCGAACATTCGATTTTCGGTTGTTTCTAGTATCGCTCGATTCGACTTTCGAACGAAAGAAAGAAGAAAAGACAGAGAGAGAGAAAGAAAAAAGTTGGGGGGAAAAACTTACGGATCACTGCCAAGGCGAGAAGACTGGACGCCGTCTTTACGACACTCTTCATGGTCTCCGAAGAGAAGCGTGCACTGTAATCGCGCGAGGAGAAAGAAAGAAGCGAGATAGGCGCGCGGTCGAACGACGAACAGCAGGCTAACAGTTTGGAAGAGAAAGAGGAAGAGGGCAGAACCGGCGCGGCTCTGAACGTCGAACGACACCCGTTTAGCTCGGTAGCCTCGAAACGACTGACTGTACCTGACTGTCGGTCGTCCCGTACCGTCCACGATCGATCCTCGAAATCCAACTCCGTACACACAATACGGCGGAGCCGCGTGCAACACGGAGCCGAGCGCGCGCGCCACTCCGCCTCACTAACGCTCCTCTCCACTCATTCGATTCCACACCATTCGATTCGACTCCGTTCGATTCCATTCGATTCGCGCCTGCCTTCCCTGCCCATGTTTCCCGATGCGCCGCACAAGGCCCGCACGCGTGTCCCACGCTTCACGCTTCCGGACACCGTGGATAAAACGTGGGGTGAAT